CTCCGACCATCTAGTGTGCCGCAGATGGCTTTCTAGGGTGAGTCTTGCCCAAACAAGCACTACGGTCAGAAAGGTGTCCAATACATGTCCCTTCGAAGGTGTCTCTCCTTACCTCGGGAGCACCCGAACATGCCCTGCACACCACTCAGACTGTCTCAACACCGAGCAGAGCGCAAGGAAAATCACGTACACCCCCAGAAACTTCCCCGGACCACCTCATCGATTCTTGATCCTCCTCTTCCGCCGCGAGCCCCCTCTTCTCCCCCCCCCTCCTCGGAGACCCCCCGCGGCCTCCCGCGGGAAGCCCCCTCTGAAGCGCCCCTTCGCCCCCCGAGGCCGCGCAAGCCACTTCCAATCCCGCCTCCACCTCTCCAGGCCTTCCAGACTGGGGTCGGAGCAGATGGTCCAATAATGGTCCAAAAGTAGTGAAAACGTAATCAAAAATAGTCCAACAACGGTGCAGATGTTTTGACGATCCTTTTTTTTCGCCCAAGATCCGCCTGTAGGGGGACATGCCCGACCTACCTTCAGACCTCCTGGATGGGGTCCGAGTAGATGGGGTCGGAGGATCGCGCCGCACCGCCAATGCATCGCCGATGCGGCTCGATGTAGGGCCAGATTTGCTTCACGCTGACGGCGCCGAGGCATCGCCGCTGTCGCCGATGCACCGGCGGTGCATCGCCGATAAGTCGCCAATGCATCGGCGACGCGGCGCGATCCTCCGACCACATCTGCTCCGACCCTATCTGTCAGGCGATCGCAAACATGGATCAGGGGGGCGTGGATCAGCGACGGGTCCCGTCTTGGGCGCACGGGCGGCACGGGCCGCACTTTGGGGAGGGCGCCTCCCCCGATCCATGGATTTGGCGACCGTGCGCCAAATCCACGAAGTCGCTAATCCATGCCTGCGCGCCCCCGGAATGCATCGGCGAGGCGGCGCGACCCTCCGACCACGCCTGCTCCGGCCCCGTCCGGGTAGGCCTTTGACCGCGCCCCTCCCGCGAGCCGCCCCCTCCCCCCGCGCCCCCCCCTTTCGGGCGCGCGGCCTCGCCGGGCCACCGAGAGGACCGTGGCCCTCCCGGCCGCTCGCGGCCTCTCCTAACCGCCCTCCGCCCCTCCCAGCCTCAAGTCGGGCAAGTCCCTCTGCAGGAGGAGCACTCGAGAGTAGTTTCAAACATTGTCGGGGGACGACTTTCGTCCAACTGGTTTCTGACCATGTTTTTGGCCATGTTTTTGACCATGTTTCTGACAATGTTTGACCATGTTTTTGGCAACTGGTTCTGACCATGTGTTTGACCATGTTTTTGACCAAAAGAACTGTTTCTGACCATGTTTTTGGCAACTGGTTGACTCGTCCTTTTTCGTCCAAGCTCCGCCTGTGGGAGGACATGCCCGATGATGGTGGGGGGAGGGGGCAAGGATTCTCAGAAGCACTCCTGCCTCTCGGAAGCGGCGGGCCTTCTTTGGAGATGTCAGGCCCGCGCCTTCTAAGAAGCAGCCTCCTCCGAAGAAGCCTCCCCCCCTCCCCCCTGCCCCCCCCTTGTGCGCGCCGTCAGCCCCCTCCCTTCCGCCGCGGACGACCGGTGAGCACCGCGGCCGCGCTCTGGCGTGTTTTTCCCGAGGCGCCGTCGAGCCTCTCGACCCAGAGGCGGCCCCGTGCACGGTCTTGTCGGCTCTCTCCCTGACCTCGTCGACGACGATCTTGTCGCCTATTTCTAGGCCACTAAATAATCACAAATTGTCAAACAATAGAAGAAATAGGCTGGAGTAATCAATAAAGAGCCAAAACGTAATCAAGAATAGTCCAACAATAGCGCATATGTTTTGACTACCCTTTTTGTTCGCCCAAGATCCGCCGTTAGGGGGACATGCCCGGCCTACTTTCGGGCCTCCTGGATGGGGTCCGAGCAGATGGGGTCGGAGGATCGCGCCGCATCGCCTATGCATCGCTGATGCGGCTCGATGTGGGGCCCGATTTGCTCCACGCCGACGTCGCCGAGGCATCGCCGACGTCGACGATGCATCGCCGGTGCATCACCGATGCATCGCCGATGTATCTGCCATGCGGCGCGATCCTCCGAACCCATCTACTCCGACCCCATCTAGGAGGCCTCTACTACTGCAGGTTGGCCGTCGCGCTGTATCAGGCCGATGCGTGGTCTCTTCATCCTCGTCCTCCGTACCGGCTCCGTGACATTTTGGACGGGCTATTGTGCACGCCCGCAAGTGGCCTCGGAGTCGAAGCTGTGCACCACTTCTGCTAGGATCATGCTGTCCGCTCCGATCTTCTCCTTCCAGTAATTGTTGGGCTCTCAGAGCCAAGCAACGATGCACCGTATCGCGATGGGGCGAGACCCGAAGGGAGTCCAAACAAGGTAGCGGTGCATGGGCGCCATTCTCTCATTCCTCTTCGGTACACTGTAGTTGGCCAAGACGCTCCCCAAAAAATCCCCCAAACAAAAACCCCTAAACAGAACAGCATCAACAATAAGTTTGATGTTGTTCGCTCTTATCTGCTCGCATGTAATTCAGCATTTATCCTCCAAACCTTCGATACCCACCCTCTTCGCCGTTCTTACCCGCCACGTGTAGCTGGCGCAGCCCCTAAAACAGGGGAAGGGAGGGAGGAGAGAAGGGACAGGGGGGAGGGAGAAGAATGGAGCACGAGAGAGATTGGCAGGAGGGGTGTTACGAGCATGAGTACAAGCAACAGAACCAGGCGGGCGGGTCGGGCGGGCGGATCCTATCGGGCTGGTCGGACCCAGACGACTGGGTCGAGCGGGCGGGTCGCTGAAGTATCAATTTTGCATGGATCGCGAGGAAGTCTCGAGCGATAAGACGATTCGCAAGGAAATCTCAGGGAAGCCCAGAGCGAGAGCATGGTTCCTGATTGTCGAGGGCGCGACTTTTAAATACATTGTGAGGAAGTCTCGAATGAGATCACGATTCCTCGGTAACATGTGGGGACGTCCCGCGCGAGAGCGCGGTCTTGAATCAAATGCGAGGAGGCATAAGGCGGGAGCCGTTGTTGCTGGAGCCTGCGGGCCAGCAACCCAAAATTAGGAGACGCTAGATTTTCCCTGATAGAAAACAGGGTGCGCGCCCCCAGAGGAGCACTTGCATTGAAAAAACAATGGGCATCGCGCAGGGGGATCAACAAACCATGTTCTGTAGAAGTGAGAAGGCGACGACGACAAGAACAATCATTATGAGACTGTTCGCTCTTGTCTGCTCGCGCGACATTATGCACGTCTATACCAAGCCCTCGATACCTGCCCCCTTCGTCTTTTATCGTGCCACCTCTGGGGGTATATCTTCACTACCTGCCGCGTGTAGTTGGCGCAGCCGCTAAAACAGGGGAAGGAAGGGAGGGGGAGACAGAAGGATGAAACACGCGGGCGGGTCAGGCGGGAGGACCCTGACGGACAGGTCGGGCGGGCTGGCCCAGACGGCCAGGCCGAGCGGGCGGGTCGATGAAGCGTCAACCCAACATAAATCGCAAGGAAATTCCGAGCGATATCGCGATTCCCAAGGGAATCGTGAGGAAATCCGAAGCGAGAGCGTGATGCCTGAGTCTAGGGTGCACGGCGCCGCAATAAATTGTGAGGACGTACCAAGCGAGAGCGCGATTTTTACATACATTATGAGGAAGTCACGCGCGAGAGCGCAACTTTGGAAGAACGCGACAGGAAGTACAAGGCGGCTGCCGTTGCTGTTGTACACCGGGAGCCAACAAACGAGTTTGAGGACCAAGATTTCTTTGATAACAAACCAATTGTGAACCCCGGGATGAGCACTTCAATTGAAAGACAGATTGTGGCTTGAAGGGAGTATCAACAACACTTAGTTTCACGAAGTGAGAAGTCAGCAACAACACTGATAGTAATAATACGCATACTAGCAACCGCAAGCAACGGCTGTAGCAACAGCAGAAGCAAGAGCCGCAAGAGCAACAACAGCAACAGCAGCAACAACAGCAATAGCAGCAACAGCAACAACAACAGCGGCAACAAGAATAGCAACAGCAGCAACAACAGCAACAACAGCAGCAGCAACAGCAAAACAGAAGCACGATGTGCTTGGCCAAGACGTCCCCGCAAATACGCACACGCACACACGACGCTGCCGCCTCCCGTCGCGCGGCCGCGAGCGCAGGCCAGCGCCGGGTGAGCTGGGAGAGCGCGCAGCCACGCCGCCGCGCCGCCGCGGGCGGGCGCGCGCAGCCACGCCGCCGCGCGCCTCGGGCGGGGGGGGGTCGGGGTTCGAGTTTCTGCCTCCTCCCCTGTGTCTGCTCCTCCTGTCCTGCTGCCTCGCAGCTGTTCCTCCTCCTCCTCCCCCTCCTTGTCCTCCTCCTCCTCCTTCTCCTCTTGATGATTGCCTCGAGGGCGATCACGAGAGCTCTCGATCTCATCCGTCTCTCGAGCCTGGTGGCGATGGGACCGGAGGTCTCGTCCCCTAGGCTGCCGAAGATCCTTCTCGCGAGTTTCAGAGATGTTATTTTTCGGAGGAGCAGGAGGAGGAGGAGGAGGAGGAGGAGCACCCTTGGAGGGAGGAATTCAGCTTCAGTGCGGCCCGTTGCGCGCCCAATAGTGGGGCTCTGCCTTCCGACGCCCAGGGCCCGTTGCCGCCGAGGCTTCTGACGGCGTGAACGTCAGCTCGCAGCAGGCGCCGATGCACGTGGAGCCCCCCTCACCCCTCCCCCCAGGCCGACCCCCTTCTTCGGTTGCTGGTCTCACGCAAAGTAGCTCCAATTCGGTAGGCGATCGGAGTGGAGAATTCGGACGTGAAGAAACCCCCAGTAGGTTTCACGAGAGCTCCAGGCGACCCCTCCCCGCTTCTGGCCCCCGCGTTTCACGTTCCTGGGGAACTCCTTGGTCAGAAGCGAGGTCCGAGGTGGGATTCACGCCAGGGGCTCTCCCTGTGCCTCAGGTGTCGCCACACCTCACTTCCTCCGTTGCTTCTCGGCTCGAAAGTTCGAGTTGCATCGCCATCTCGGGAATGTATGCTGCGTGGGCGGAGTCAGTGGAGCTGGTTACTCGTACTTTGCGCACTCGTCAGATATACCTTCGTGCTGCGAGGTCCCAGTGGTGGACGCGTCCACATAGACAGAGGGGCAATGGGGCTCGACAGATGGGTCGATATCTGGAGGCTTGTCGCTGCTAATTGCTGGGACGACCTGCAGGCATCCTTACATTCATTCGTGATGACCGAGATCCGCCTTCGACCCCATGGATCTCCACCCCCACCGATACGATGGGGATTTAGCTGCCTGCGTTGGAGTCCCATGGATTGCAAGCGGCGGGCTTATCAGAAATTGCGGTCTCCCTACTCCGATCGTTGAAGCTTCAACGTTTGCCATGTTTCGCGAAACCAAGGAGGCTGCTGTTCGGGAACCCTTGGGGGCAGCACGGCGGAAGATATGTACCACACGCCGGCGAAGACGAAGGCCCAAGCGGGCTTGGGGCTTGACATGCTCACCCCAGTGGACTTTCAACGTGTGCCTGTTTTGTGCAGTCTCGGAGTGGGCGCTCATCCTCAATGCGATAGAGAGTCAGCTCATGTGGCCAGTCCAGGTCATGCTGGTCATGGGGATATTGTTTCCCAAGCGGGCAACTGGGGATCGCGCGATCGGGCTGGTATCCATGCTGGGCAGACTGATTTTTCATCCGCGAGCCTCTGGTTCGCGATTGGTCGAGAGACCCCGCGGCGGCCTGGGGCGCGGCCATAGGAGGTAACAGCTGCTTGCAGGATGCGCATCCACGAGGGGTCGACGAGGAACTGGCGCACGCTACGCGGATGCAGCATGGCCAGGCGCTCGCGCATATTCAGTCCTACGTCAACATCCCGCGAGCGCTTTTGGCTCGAGCATCGCTTGGGATGTCCTTCCTCCCTGTTCTTTTGTTATTTGTCAGAGCTGCGCAGCGCATCGCATGTCGCGCTCTGTATCAGGTTGGAGCCGCCACGGATCCATTCGAACCGCCCCACAGCTTGGTCCAAGGGCTTCGTTCGGGCACGCGCTGTGCTCCCACTTTCACGTGTTTCGTGATGGCGCGGGCCGCAGCAGCGAACCCCCACGCGGGGCGCCGCCTGCATACCGACGACGTTCATCAGATGGTTGTGGGATCTCGCAGTGCAGTCAGCCATCTGTAGGAGCATGCCAAGGCTAGTCAAGGCCACTGCGGTGGCGTAACCTTGTACAGACCATTGTAGACACATGCCGTTCCCTTGAGGCGCATCAGCTGAAATTTGCGCCTAGTCGGTGGCCCTATGTATGACGACAGATGACGCAGTGGCAGCGGTGCGCGCAGTTCGAATATGGGGCCATCTCAGGCGGCGCGTCAGGCAGCATATCTAGGATTGGACTTCAGCTGCGGACGATGGGGCGACATATCAGAACGCAGAGACATGCAAGCAGATGAGCGATGAAATCAGACGGTTCATGCGGGCGCCCGAGTGGCGCCATCGCACCCAGCGGCTCGATCGAGCCGGAAAATGGCCGGCGGGGGCGCGCGGTTTTCAGGCGCGCGGAATGCTCGGGCAGCAGCTGGCGGAGCGCAGAAGGCGACCGGCAGCCGCGCGCGCAGCAGGAGCGACGGGTAGGTGTTTAAACGCTTGACTGGACCGGAGGGCGCCTTTTGCAGATCCCGCAGTTCAATTTCCAGCGGATGCGATCGACATGCGGTTGCGCAGTTAACGGGCGCATCCATGTTTGCGTCGAAGCATTCGACTCGCGCGGCTCGGATCGCGCGCCCATTGACAGACCGACCCACAAGGGAACAGGTCAGGCAAGTTCACGGGCCCATCTCTGAACAGTGCGAAACCGACCCCAGGCCACAATGATGGATTTGACATTGCAGCGTTTTGCAGGTATGGCGAATGTGCGTAAGTGTAGGCGCCCTGTCGGCGAGGCCACTACCAGCTGCCGCAAGGGGGCCCGCGCGCGCGGCGGCGCGCCAGGCCCGCTCGACGCGGCCGCGCCCGCGCCGGCACTCCCAGGGCCGCGCGTGCCACGACCGCGGCAAGGCGACGGCGGCGCGCCCCTCGCGCAGCAGCGCCGCTGGCCCAGCCGCGGGCCCCCGCCCCAACCTCCGTCGACCCCTCGCAACTCGCCGGCGAAAAAGTTTAGATCGGGGGCGTTTCTGTTGAGGCATCTGTTACAGTAAGACGCTTGCTCTCGGGACTTTTATAAGAACGCGTTCATTGTTTATGAACTTGTCGCGGCTCTCCCGCGCGGGGCTGTTCGAGTCGGAGAAGTTCAGTTCGATCATAGAAAGAGTTTCTAGAGACTTGTTTCGCCTGGTACCAGAACTTTTGTCTTCGGGGTGGATCGAAACTGCTCGATGCGCGCCCGTGCGGGGCGGGCCCCGGGCGCCGCCCCGGGCTCTTGCCAGCGCCGCCAAGAGCCGACGCGCCCCCTGGTTTCTGCCATCGCACCAGCGCGCGAACGCCCACCAAGACTTCGGGCATTGACAGCGCGCCAGCACAAGGCAACGCCAAGTCCGTCAAACGCAGACGGGCATGGCAGCAGCGCGCCGTTCGCATTGAATTGCGCAGTGTTGTCGTCAGCTGACCGTCGCGCTGTTTCCGCCTGCAGTTCGCGCGTCGCTCGACGGCCCCATCAATCTAAAGTTCATCGCGCGGTGGGCGGGGTGCGTTTTTCACGCGTTCAATCTCTGTGCTCGCGCTCCCGCTCGTACGTTTGGATTGGGCGCCGGCGTAGCGCGCGCGGCCATTCCGCGATGGGTCGAAGGGTTCTGTTGGGGAGTGGCACCTTTCCGATCCAATCTACACGGGCAATCAGCTGCTGGATGCCAACGGGGATTTGCTTGCCGATATTCGGTCGGCGGCGCCAGTGAGACCTGGGGGGGCGCAGCAGAGCGCCACTGTGCCAGCGGGCGCGGGAACCGATGGCGATTCCCACCTTGCCCCATTCAAGTGCATTGGGAACGTCGACCCGCGATTGTCCGAGGCGACGCCCAATGTCGAGACTGACGCCGGCTGGCCCAAACTGCGGCAGATAGAGTTCGTCACACTGACAGCGCATGTCATGGGAGATGTGAGACGCGCGGTGATCGCCCGACGCGCCGCCAGCGACGCGGGGGGCAAGCTGGCGAGCAGCCCAATAGTTCGCCCCCCGAGGCCATGGCCCAAGCCGACAGCTGCGAAGCTGTCTGGCGGCAGGCAGCGCCCCCAATCCTTGCGCCGCCGCGTCGGCCCCTCCCGCCAGCAACTCCTGGGCGGCGGAGGGCGTCGACGGCTTCGGGCCGGGCGTGTTGGGGCACGGCGCCCGCGGTGACCCCGCGCGGCGATTCGGAGATGCATCGGGGGGCAAGGACAAGGCAATGCTAAAATTGTGGCGCGCGGCGCTCGCTGCGGCGCGCACGGCTGGCCACGGGCAGTTGGCCCCAAAGCGCGGCCCGCTCGCTGGCGTTCGACGGGCGGTGCGTCGAGGTGAGCCGATGGCGCTTGCGACGACGCTGGCCGGTCCAATGGGAGGCGCGGCTCGCGTCTCAGATTGCGAAAATGCCCGCGGCAACGGCGCGGTAGACGGCCTCGCCTCCGAGGCGGCCGACGAGGCGAGACCAGCGGCGGACGAGAGGAGCCGCGTGCTCCAGCGCGAGAGGAAGGCGCACCTGGCGCGCCCCAGGCTGCTCAGAGCGGCGCTAGACAGCATGGCGGCCGCCCAGGCCGCTGAGCGGGGGAGAATGTTGAGCAGCCCTTCCCCCCGCGCCCCGCCTCCTCCGCCGCCCCTCGCCTCCGCCGCCGCCCCCCCCCCCCCCCCCTCCCTTCGTCTCGTGCTTTTTCCGACTGCATGCAGAGATGCACTAGATGCTTGTCATCAGCGTCGAAATCCAGCACGCGCGAATGGCGGGGCACGGGGTGCGCTCGGCTACTCGGTGCAGACAGTATAACCATGTCCCCAAAGCAGGGCGAGCGAGTGCACGCCAAGGGGGCTGGGCTCACCCGACTCATTCTTTAAATTTCCATTCGGGCTTGGGGTTTGGTTATGTGGCTTCTGCGGGGCCATCGCTGAAAAGCAGCTGCGCCCCTTGGGTTAGCCCTGCAAGGGCTTCTTCGTTTTCGCTAAAGCACGCGAGGGATAGTTTTATCGAACTGCGACGGGAAAACCCCCCAATATCCTCAGCCAGGCCGAGTTGAAGGCGAGGCGATCGAGAGCAGGCCTTCAATGTGTTTGAGGTCGGGATGAACTGGCAGCGCCAAGTGGTCCACCCCACTCCACTCCTCGGGATCCTCTGCGCGAGCCGCTGCACCCCTGGTGGGTGGGGCCTCGAGGTTATCGGGCTTGCCTGTCGGTTCTCGGCGGCTTTCGGCTCGAGGTTCTCTTCGGTTCTATCTATGGTCGGGGGTCGAGGCCCTCGCCCCCCCCCCAGGCCCCCCCCCTTCGCGCCCCCTCTGCCCCTCGTTCCCCCCCCTCCCCCGTCGCCCTCCCCCCCCCCTGGGGTGCACCCCTTTACGTCCTCCCGTTCCTTGCCTCCCCCTTCTCCCCCGTCGCCCGCCCTGCCCCCCTCGCCCGGAGGGGGGGGTGCCCAACGGGGGGGGAGAGGGCGCGGTGGGGGAGGCGTTTGAGGACGTGTTTTTGTTGCCACTCCGCGGGGCCGCCTCGAGGGCCCGCGGGCCGCGCCTCAGACCTCTTGGAGACGTCGTTGGCGCCGTTCGGACGTGTGCATGCTTTCTCGGCGACCACCGAAGAGCATCTTGCACCATCTCGCGGGGAAAAACACGCGCGAAACCGACACACGCACAGGGAAGACACGTGCGAGCGATGGCACGGCACAGCAGTCGCCCCCCTCTCGTCCTCCTTCACCTCCCCCGCAGCAGCGACAGCAAGAGAAGTAGGCGGCGCCAGGTAGTTTTCAGGCGTCTGCGGCGCGCCGCGGGCAGTCTGCAGCACGCCTGTCGAAAGCCCCGACCTTCCCCGGCGCGCCGGAGAAAACAGTCGCTGCGTGGCGAGCGTCAGCCAAGTGAGGCGAGAATTGGGATCGGCCAAAGAGGGGTAACATCGACCCGCCCAGTGCGCATTCCTCGCCGATCGAGTCCCCACCCCCTGCCCAAGAACGTACGGTTTTGCAATCGGGGGCCAGTCGCCGATTTGTTGGCGATGTGTCGCCAGTTCCAAGCCGATGTCCCCCCCGATATGTTCCTCCCGTCACACCTCCTCTCAATCAGGAGTTGTATGTTGTGTCAGGGGAGGAAGGAAGAGGTACGGTGTGCGTATTGGCGATGTTGATGATGAGTGGGCCTCAAATGGTCCCAACATAGCCCAACACTGATCTGCGGTTCGCACGTTCTTTCCAGCGCAAGGCAACGGCGGACTCGATTGAGATGTGGTTTCGTAACGGCGCTCAGGGCAAATTGCCTATATTAGCTTCTGGGAAAATATTCGGCTCAGCAGCGTCAGAGGAGGAGGAACAGGAGGAGGCGGAACAGGCGGGGGACCGGATGATTCTCATGTCGTTGAGGGTTTGGGTGTGCGCTTCAGACTTCCAGCCTGAATGACAATGGCGCGGCTGCCCCCGACCGCAAACTCAACAGGCTCCCCTGGCCGCAAAACGAGATAGTTCCCCAGACCGCACCGCAGATTGTAAAGTATAGCGCTGTGGATATACACGCTACGTGTTGTGCAATTTACGTGGTGCAAAACATATGGTGCAACATTTGTGGTGTACGCTATGTGGTGTAAACTATATGGCGCAAGCTAAGTGGTGCAAGCTATGTAGTGTAGGCGCAAGCTATGCGGTGCAATCGATCTGGTGCAATCAATGCGCTTCAAGCGCTGTGTGGTGTGAGCTGTGTTTCTCTTTTTCCCACTATGGCCTCCGCTTTTGGCTGCTCGGAGCCACTCCGATCCGGCGGTCGTCGCTGCACAAAACCGCAGCTGACGAAGCCCAGAAACGAGTTGTCCAGCGTGTGGATGGTAACTGCCAAATCTGCACCGAAACGAAATCAGCTTAATGCCGACCATCTCCCAAGGAACGATTCTTTGCATACGTATAGAAGGCAGGTTCGCACTATCGACAGCAGCGGGGGGGTATTTGGTAGTGAGCGTTATGCGGCAGATTTGTCGATAGCATTCCAGATTGAGGTAAGGACAGGCATTCCATTTCCGCGATAGGTTCGCGATCTCGCAGGGCGCTTACTTTGTCCAGGCCCTTCTCGAATAGGAGAGCGCAGGCCCCTTGGCAATCCGGGAGCGTGCCGTTCCCCTCAGGTGTTGATCTAGTCAGCTTTGGACCCCCAAGGATCTGTCTGCATATCGCAATACAGTCAAATATGTCATCTTCTCGTTGGTGTCTGTACTCGCGGCACCAGCTCGGTAGCGCGTATTTGTTGAATTTGGGGATGCACATCCAGACACAATTCGGACTGAATTGTTTGTCCATGGCTTTTCGTTCTGGGGAGAGTTTCCAAAGCTTTGCTGACGTAGACTTCACCACAGACCAGCATGGCCTCAATCATACATATCTCGCCGATCTGATACGCGTTAGACTGCTACGCGCTATGTTCGCCTCTGCAGAGGTGTCCCGTTCCTATACTTGGCGTCTGTTGCGTCCCACTGACTCCATACATGTCAATTGTCTGGCAAGGTTATTCACGTATTCTAAACGCTTCGCGTATCCCCACCAGCAGGTGTGGTTCTCGCGCTTCGCCGACGTCCGGGGCATCGCCTTTGCATTTCTCTTTCCTACCTCGGCCGATGGTTCGTTGGCCGCGGCCACCCTGGTGCCCACGCAGTCGTCTGAGGTACGGTATCGCGTTTTCTCTCTCGGAGTTGTCCCTGGCCGTCGTTGATTTTCCGACGTATGGCGCATCCGACGGACTTGCAGCTTTGCACGCTGGCAGTTCCCCTCAGTCTCATTCCCCTCAGCCACCCACCTGAGGCCTCGGCCGGCGCTTGGCCGTCGCCTCGCGCGTTGCTCTGCTCTATTTGTCCCGCGTTTCCTCTGCCTAACTAGTCTCTGCGTAGCCCGCTTTGACCTGACTCGCCGCCGGCGCGCGCGCCCGCGGCCGCTGACTAAAAAGTATCGCCGCCAGCCCGTCCAGAAATGAGTCCCAGGGGAGTGGAGGTGATGAGGGAAGCGGGGGAGCATGCAGAAGAACAAAGGCGGGGCAAGCCGCCATATACCCCAAGAGGGGGAGGATGTAGGAGGAGTCGTCGTCGTCGGAGTAGGAGGAGGAAGAGGAGGAGCAGGAGGAGGAGCAGGAGGAGGAGCAGGAGGAGGAGCAGGAGGAGGAGGGGGAGGAGGAGGAGGAAGATGAGGAGGAGGAGATGGAGGAGGGCGAGAACGTGGAGGACGAGAAGGGGGGGAAGGAAAAGGAGGAGGCGGAGGAGGAGGAGAGGGAGGGGGGAGGAGGGATGAGGAAGAAAAAGAGGAGGAGGAGGACAATGGCGAGCTTGGGGGCCTCTTGGGCCGTCTTTGGGGCCTCTTGGCGGTACTGGGGGCTTCTTGCGTATCTCGGGGAGCCTGTTGGGGCCTCTTGGGGGTCTCTTGGGAGCCTTTTGGAGGCCTCTTGGGCGCCTCTTGGGGCCTCTTGGGGCCTTCTTGGGGTGCTCTTGGGGCGCTCATGGGGGCCTTCGGGGCGCTCTTGGGGCCATGTTGGCGGAGATCTATCCAAGAAGGGGGGGGGGAATCAGCGTTGCCCCTCTAGAATGCCTCTTGGGCCCCAAAAGAGGCCAAAATCCTTCCAAAACCTAGGGGAAACAATGTTTTTTGCTTTCCCGCCCTTTCGCTCTTGGAGCCGTCTTGGGCCATCTTGGACGCAACCCCCCGTCCAGGTTCAGGGGAGGGGGCAGGGGGAGGGGTAAACCCCTCCCCGAAGGGGAAGAAGGGGGTTAAAAGAGGAAACTCTCTAGACCACCGACGCCCAGAGGGCTGGTGGGATTAACCCGCAATTGCGGATAACAGTGAAGATGCGGGCGAGGGGTGGTCAGGAGGGGGAAAAAACACACATAGACAAAACGAATCGTCGGTCCCGGGGAAGACGAAAACCCAGATAATATGGGAAAATATTGGGAATCTTGTTATTTGTGTATATTTATTTGTGTGTCCCAGGGCCCCTTCAGTATCACCCCGCAATTGCGGATAACAGTGAAGATGTGGGCGAGGGGTGGGTCGCGGGTGGGTCGCAGATGGGTTGCGGGGTGGGTCGCGGGGTGGGTCGCGGGCGAGGGCGGCGACAATATTGACAAGCAGAATCCGCACCGCGGCCTCCCACTCCAGCCTCTCACCTATGGACAGTGAATGACCGTTCGGTCGGCCCCCTCACTCTGACAACACTGTTTACAGTCGGCCTAGATTACTAGGTCGACACTGCCAAATCAAGGGTGCCCTTGTGTCATGTGTCTCGCGACCCGTGCCTCCTGATTTCTGTGGCAATTTGGCCTTCGGAAGGGTCTTGTGTCCTCTCGCGTGTCCTGTCCAATCGAGTCCGACTGTAAATGCAACCGAAATATCTCGACACGATTCCAAGTGCGCCGATGTTTGCCGGGGGTGAGAAGGCGCGTGAGCCGTTCTAGGGGGGGAAGAGCTCGTCAACGACGCACCCCAGGGGATTTCCGGAGCTTCCAAAGAGCCCCAAGACGGCCCAAGTTGACAATCAACTCAGGATGGGCTGCTGGGGATACGCGAAACGTCAAGAATTGTTCCTGTATTTATCCTCGCCGGTGTCCATTCTTATCTTTTTTCATTGGTTCCCGTATCCATCGTCACCAATTTCCGTATCAATTTTCAATATATACATTTTCATTATTTTCAGTATTTTTACACTGGTTTCTGTATCCACTCATTTTCGGTTTCCGTATCCATTTACACCAATTTCCGCATCCACCACCCATTGTTTTCCGTAGCTACCTTCATCCGTTGCCGATTTTTTACGAGGGAACCGCGCGGCAATGATCTATTGAAATTACCAAAAAAATCTTGTTTTTGCGCGACGAGAACTTGATGGACGTTACCTAATGCAATGTTGTATTTTTACATGTCCAGGCAATTTGGGAAAGTCATCCTCCGGAATATCCCGCAGGCGCAGCCTACCCATGTAATTTCAAAATTGAGATAAGATTTGTGTCTTATGTTTTTAAAGATATCACGTGGCCGACCGATTAGAACAATCGGCGTTTCAATTTTGAAGGGTTTATCTCTTCGGAAGCCCAACGGCCAACTGACCCTGCGAGCACACGGTGGGGTAGTTTATTTGCATCGCGGGAAAAGATCTGGTTTTTACATTTTGAGGTTCATTTCGCTTTCGAATTCAAAAAATATTGCAATGTTTTCTGCCATTATTGGTTTTGCTTTGAAATTGTGATCAGACATTTTTTGAAGGAGGTTCGGGAATCAGCGGAAGCGGTATTTTGAGATCCCCATCGTAAAATCAAAAGGCGGTTTGCAGGCAATTTGAAATTCATGATGTTGAGCCGGTGAATTGTTCATTTTGTGATTTGTTGTGTTTTCGTTGTGTTTGAATCTATATGTATATATATATACAGATATATGTATATATACGCACCTTCTCTCTTCGCGCGTCTGGAGAACCGTATTTTACCAAACGAATTGCGCGCATGTTGTGAGATAGAATGAGAAATACAAAGAGAAGAGATCAAACACAAATTTCAAAAACCATGCGCTTGAGATTTAGAGCTACAGTAGCTTAGAATAGCATGCGCTCGATCATTTTTTACCAGCGCAGCAGTATGACGATCAAGGTTCGCACCCGAAAACCTGGCCGAGGTGAATTAATTGAGGCGGAAAACCAGAGCGCTTCAGCAGCGTCAAAAAAAAAGGAGGAGGAGGAGGAAGAGGAGGAGGAGGAGGGGGGGAGACGGGCCGTGATGCTTACATTGTCACAAGAAGCTCGCTCAGGGGGCATGCCGGCTCACTTTGCGTTGTTGACAGGTCCGTGTATTCATGAAGTACGGCATGCGCAATTGATCGTTGGAATTGCACCCCCATAGTTGGTTGATGGCCCCATTGCCCGTATACC